GGCTCCTCTGTCCATGGAATTCTCCAGGCAAGAATACTGGAGTGGGTAGCCATCCCCTTCTTGGGGTATCTTCGAGATCCAGGGATCGAACCCAGGTCTCCTGCATTGCAGGCAGGTTCTTTACCATTTAAGCCACCTGTTTAGCAAGCATGCAAGGAAAAGATACTTCTTGAAGAGTACCATGCGTTCTTAGATAATTTTTTTCCTTAAATATCTTATCTCAGGTAGAATTCTGAGACCCCAAATCACTGAGCAAAGGAGATGGTAATGACATCAAATTAGAGCAGCTTAATGGGGCTCATCTCCACTAACAAAAATAGGTAACATTCACTCAACACTTACTACTTTGACAGGCTCCATTCCAAGCATTTTCCATGTATTAACTCATTTAATTCCCACAACCCAATAGGTACTAATATTATATCCATCTTAGAATGGGAAACTGAGGCACAGAGAGGTTAAGTAACTTTCCTAAGCTCACAAGATTCTGGCTGTAGTCTTGTTAGACTTTTTAGAGTCTCTTTTAACAACAAATCAATACTTCTGGGTCCAAAAACATCTTGCCATTATCATTTGGGAAAGCTTTGTCACCTTGTCACTGGGCTATGATGACTATCTCTGAGAGAGTCAGAGTGGTCCTATAGGCATGTCCTACATCATCTTACATCCATTTGTTCCAGATCCTGGAGATGTGGGGTTCCTTGGATCGAGGGTCAGCACCTGTCCAAAATCCCAAGACATGGGCAAGAGTCTGAATTTTCAGTTTTTTTTTTCCCTGAACTTTCAAGAAGTTATTATATTTGGCAAATGGAATGGGAACATGGGAGAAGTCCTCCTGGGGTGCAGGGAATAAGGGGTGCCTTGTCTGTAGAGAATTTAAAAACAACAACAGAACTAAGTACAAGTCAATCTGCTATTATCTCCATAGCCAACAATTCTCAACAACGTCAGTGATAAAACACACCAACCTGGTGGACTGGACCCTCCCCACCAACCCCACCCATGAGCCTTGGTACACCACAGCTTTAATTTCTAGTTTCTCTTGTGTGTGTGTCTGACTCTCTGTGACCCCATGGACTATAGCTTGCCAGGCTCCTCCATCCATGGGATTCTCCAGGCAAGAATACTAGGGTGGGTTGCCATTCCCTTCTCCAGGGGATCTTCCCGACCCAGGGATCAAACCCAGGTTTCCTGCACCGCAAGTGGATTCTTTACTATCTGAGCCACCAGGGAGGCCTTTACATTCTACCATTTTATTTGTGAGGCTGACTGTCCACTCCGGATACCCTCTCTCTTCACTGGGGTTCTTGGTACCCTGAGTGATGGCTGAGTTGGATGAGAGGCTTTATTTGGGAGGGAGGGAGAGGGATGGCCTTAAAGCCTGTGTCTGCCTCTTCTTCTTCCCATGAAGGTGTCTGGGAAAGAGAAGCTGGGAAGCCTGGCATGGGGCCCAACTCTGGCTTTTCCCTTGAAGACAGATGTTGTCCCCAAACTTAGAGTCAGGCTCCTGCTGGGAAAGGGAGTGTCCTGGAGACCCAGCCCTGATGTCCCAGCTTCTCTGACACGTTCTCTGTGCCCCAAGGCAGAGTTAGTCACTTCCTTCTCGTGCTCTCACAGCACCAAGTACACCCATTTTGTTGGCGTGCTGGGCACACAGGAGCACTCTTAGATCACCCCACTCTCCAGGCAGCTCCCCGAGCGCAGCAATTTACTTGCTCATCTTTGTTCCCGTGTTCTGATGCAGCGACTGACACAAAGCAGATGCTCAAAATGTCTAGTGGGGCCAAAAAGGGAATCACATCCTGTCCTCATCTTTCCCCATGAAACTTAGATGCTATGGGTCTGTGAGAAATATGGTCTAGGGTGAGACATCATTCGTTCATTCATTTCACATATACTTGTGTATGCTAAAGTCACCATCATTATGCTTAGGTGTTGTTTTTCTTTATGGTCACTGATCTCAGTAATTTCATTTGTTAAAGATATTAATTTGTTCTATTATACTTAATAAGCATGAAAAAGAAAAATCAGTGTCTCATACATTTTTATGTATCTGTTTTTATGAGAGATTTCAATTTACCCATGAAGGTAATCATTGAGAATACATTGGATGGAAGTGGTTGTAAGAAATAGTTCCTGCTTCGCAAGCAAGCATACATGGAAATTATTTGAAAGGCCAGTGCATATAGGGTACAGTTTTGACTGACTAGAACCCATGTTACCTGGAAGAGACAAAGAAATTGCATTCATGAAAGGAAAAGCTGATACTCTGAATATTATTTTTTGATTGACTTCAGTCTCTTATCCACTGCAGAACTCACTAACTTAATACAAATTACTGATCAAGAACAAGCTTCCAGACCTAGAGGGGTAGGATAGGGGAAGTGGGAGGGAAACACAGGGAGGAGATATATATATGTCATTATATATCGTTATGTATATATAATTGATTGGTTTATCTTGTTGTACAGAAGAAACCAACATAAAATTGCAAAGCAATTCAGTTCAGTCACTCAGTCATGTCCTACTCTTTGGGACCCCACAGACTGCAGCATTCCAGGCCTCCCTGTCCATCACCAACACCCAGAGCTTGCTCAAACCCATGTCCATTGAGTCGGTGATGCCATCCAATCATGTTGTACTGTCATCCCCTACTCCTCCTGCCCTCAATCTTTCCCAGCATCAGGGTCTTTTCTGAGTCAGCCCTACGCATCAGATGGCCAAAGTATTGGAGCTTCAGCATCAGTCTGTCCAATGAATATTCAGGATTGGTTTCCTTTAGGATTGACTGGTTTGATCTCCTTGCAGTCCAAGGGACTCTACCCTCCCATTAAAAAGAAATTTTAATTAAAAAAATAAAAAGAACCGGCTTTCAAAATATTATTTAACAAAAGGTAGAAAGTAGCAATTCATAAATGATACTGACTGGAAAAGTAGATGTTTTATAAAGTTGTAGAAAATTTTTTAATTAAATTGATAAATCTTAAAAAGATTAATTTGCAATGCTGATTGAGGAAGAGCAATTTAATACAAAACCGGGAAGTTTTTGGAAGGAAATTCAGACATTTCAGGTGGGAAGCAGATGCTGTTCATTCACCCTCTGATGGTGACTCTGGGGACCTGCAGGAGGAGTGGAAGAGGAAGTGGCCCTAACCCTAACCCAAGTGGCTGTCCCACCCAAGGCCTTCCTGGGGATAAAGACTGTGAGACCTCAGCGCGGTAAAGGAATTACTTACTAATAACGGGTGGGGATGAGCTGGGAGCAAAATGTGACAGGACTCGTTCAGCCTTGTCCAGGCCACACCCAGTTTAGTCAATGATTTCTGAACCCCAAGAATGTTAAAGGGACACAGCAGAGGTCGTACCTGGGGCTTCAGATTTTTTAATGTCCACCTTTTTCAATCCTCTATGAGGAAAGAAAAACGCCCCCATGTTGCAAGGATGGTCTTGAGAGGGAGTCTGTCCTGAAGACCTTCCAAGCTTTTCTCTGAACAGACTAGTGGCTGACCCGATGTCCCTCCTCCCCCTTAAGCAGAAGAACCACGTAGCTTGCTTCAACAAGAGCCATGTCAGCAGCAATCACTGTGAAAAAACCTCTCTGCCGGGATGAAATTCAACCTGTGCAGGCGCCTGTGCTGCGGCGGCTTTTTTAAGAATATATTTTCTAGGCACCTGAAATGTAAAAGTGTGTAAAATAAATAAGAGCCAATTAACGGTAGCATCTGGGGAGATGCCGCTTAGGGGAAAGGGACTGGAATGCAGGGAAAATCCTTGGAAAGCACGCCACTGATGGCTGCAGGAGCTTGCTGAGGCCTGGTGCTGACCTACTCTGAGAATCCTCCTGGGCCTCCCAGGTGACAGGAGCGCAGGCAGGGCTTCCAAACCAAAGTCCCTTGGGTGGAGTCAGGCTCACAGCTCTGCTTCATTAGCCTTGAACAGTGGATTCATCTTTTAAAAGTTGAGAACCTGTAAACAGGACGTGTGCTGTCCAGTTTATCACTGTCCTCGACACTCTGAACTGTCTGACTTTGACTTGTCCACAACCCAGCCTCTGTGGGCGCCTCGCTCTGGGACCCCCAGGCCCTAGACTCTGGTTCTCAAACTTGGCTGCCTGTTGGAATAATCCAAGGGAGCTTTATGAAATACTCATGTCTGGGTCCTACCCACAAAGATTCTGATTTACTTCACCTGGGGCACAGCCTGGGTGATAGTTTTAATAGCTTCCAAGGTGAGTCTTTTTTTTTTTTTCCTTTATGACTAGGAAAAACTGAAAAATTCACCAAAAAATTTTTATTAAGGTAAAATTGGTATATTACACTGTGTAACTTCCATATGTATAACATTTTAATTTGATATCTATAAAATCAACAAAGTGATCACCCCTAAAATTCTACTTAGCATTCATCAACATAACCCATTTGGCACACATCCCCAGTCCCCATCTTTCTGATAATCCCCAGGTGATTCTAATGTGCCAGGGAATTTGAGAACCAATTGAGCCCTTTAAGAAGGGTTTCCCAGGTGGCACAGTGGTAAATAATCTGCCTGCCAATGCAGGAAACCCGGGTTAGATCCCTGGGTTGGGAAGATCCCCTGGAGGAGGAAATGGCAACCGATTCCAGTATTCTTGTTTGGGAAATCTCATGGACAGAGGAGCCTGATGGGATATGGTCTGTGGGGTCACAAAGAGTCAGACACAACAGAGCACTGGAGACACATGCGCGCACACACACACACTTTTTCATACCACTTCTGTTGCTAAATGCACAATAAAGGTAATTAAAATATGGTCCTGATGCTTAAAGACATCAAGGAAGAAACAGACACTCTGAAATACTTTTAATAGGATATACTGCACAATAGAAGAGGATGTAAACTGAATGTTGTAAGAGGATCAGAAGGAAAAATGGGCACTTTCCTGGTGGTTCAGTGGTTGAGACTGGACGCTTCCACTGCAGGGGGTAGGGGTTCAATCCCTGGTCAGGGAACCAAGATCCCACATGCTTTGGGGCATGGCCAAAAAAAACAAAAAAGGACGGAAGTATATCTCTCTATTTGGAAATACCAACGAACGCACCACAGAACAAAAGACATTTAGATCTGTGTCTCAAAGGATAAGTAGGAGTCTCCCAGACAGAGTGTGAGTTAGGGGTGGAGGTACTTGCAGAGCAAAGGCATGGAGGCACCCCACTGCACAGCATGTTTGCAAAACTTGGCTCTGAGTCAGAAAGAGAATTTTGGATTGCCTTGAAAGTTCGTTTACCCTGCTTATCTATAAACCTAATGGTTCAGGATGGCCTTAATTATTTTTTCAGTATTTTGGCCCATCAAGGTGAATTGCAGATGAGTTTCCCAGCTACAAAGACAGCAGCAATCACTGGTGTAATCACATCCTTCGTCTGTTACCCAGCACCTTTCCCTTTTCAAATAACATTCCAGAACTTTGAATATGACCCTTATCTCTAGCAGAGGGTAACCTCTTTTTCTCTCATACAGTCATTGGTACCCTGGCATTGCTAATTACCTTATGTTGGCTAATTCCAACAGCAGCATTATTATAAAAATCACACAGAGAGAAATCGGGGAAAGGAGCACACAATGTAGACACTAATACTTTGGAATATTTGCTTAAAATCACTTTGGGACAGTCATCCCGCTAATTATATTAATTCAGACACACTAGTGTCTGTAATTCGTCTTAACCATGTCTTTTAAAAATCCACACTTTGGGGACTTCCCTGTTGGTCCAGTGGTTAAGAATTCACCTTCCAATGCAGGGGTTATGGGTTTGATCCCTGATTGAGCAGCTAGATTCCCAACTGCCTCAAGGCCCAAAAACCAAAATACAAAACAGAACCAATACCGTAACCAATTCATTAAGACTTTTAAAATGGTACATATCAAAAAAGAAATGTTAAAAAAAATCCACACTTTGTCCTCTCCTCTGGACAACTCTTAATGCTCTTCAATTCAGGAATTACGGACTTTTAATATTCAGACTTAGTGGGTTACCCAGAGGCTCGTCTGATCTAGTTATGGTTCCACCTTCCAAAGTGCACGCATCATCAGAAGTAGAGCATTGTCCAAGATCAGCCAAAATGTCTGTGACTACGCTGGCATTCTCCTTTTCACATGCGTGCATCTTAGCCCTGGGCAATGTACACGACTTTGATATACTTCAATATTTTCAAGCTGGAAGATCTGTGCAAGATTAATTACAAACTTAGGGGCCTCGTGCAGCTCAGCCCTTCATTATCATTAATGAACACTTCATCTGTACTAAAAAGAGAGCTCTAATTGGATTTATTTCTTTCAATAGAAGTATATACAAGTATCCCTCAGAAGTTTACTTTGCCAATCTAGTTTGTGAAGTAAACCTTTGAATCCATGCAAACCAGAGGATCCGCTGAGAATAAATAAATTTCACGACATTAGCCAGGCAGGGGAAGCCACAATGAAAATCCACTGCATCACAACATATACTTGGTTCATTAATCAGTAAGTAGAACCTGGCCTTAATTATTCATGATAATAGCCCTTAATATACTAGTTCACGGCAGTGTATTCTGTATCAGTAATGGAGGTCTCCAGTCTTCAAGAACTTATTACAACTCTCTGCTATTAAATCTTCACTGGAAGGTGAGGGTATGAGCCTGACTGGGGCTTTCATGGGAATGTCGTGTTCGAAGCATAATAATCAGGCTTTACTGTTCGGGGAAGACTTTCATCCTAGGGATCTCAAAGCGCTTTATGAGCCTTCATTAGTGCCAGGAATGCCCTGAAGGCACCAGGGTTTTACTATCTTCCTTTTATAGGTAAAGAAACAAGACAGGGGCTGGTGAAGTGACTTGCCCAAGGTCACAGAACAAATGGGACATCTTGGAGACCGCAGGCAGGTTTAGGCAGTGACTGTTTCTCTTCAGCCTTGCAAGAAATCACTTGTGTGTCTGTTGAGCTAGAGAGTCATGGCCATGCCTTTCAGTGTTGGGATGGCCCCCATCCACCCCGGCACACGCAAGGCACATAAGAGGACTTCAGTGCCTGCTAAAGGGAGGAATAAACGGTAGTTGCACTGGTGCTTTCAATTCAAAAATTCCTTATTAGCTACTCCAACTCTTTAATTTACAATTTCTTTCCCACTTTGTATAGCATATGGAAGAATCCTATAAAGTATGCTAAATATGCTGCTATCATTTTCCCAGTTGCACTAAGAAGAAGAATTGTTTGCAGGTTTTTGTCCTTTAGGAAGAGAGAGATTTCCATCTCCCATATTAAAAGATTTTAATAAAAAGTCCTTTGCTCAAGTTAGCTTCTGCTGTTACATGGGAGAGTTCTAGATAATTAAGTGGTAAGTTCTTCTTATAAATCCAGCTATTTTTTTCCCCTAAACCCTCAAGCTTCGAAAACCAAGAGAGAGCTTTTAAAATATTATTTTTTATTGCGAGTGACACCTATAATACGGGTCCCACTTTGAGGTTGGTGGGGGGATCTTTTTTGTTTGTTTTGCTTTAAATGTGTGTATTTGATCCCGGCCCGGATTTACATTTCAAGCATTTTAAAAGTGTGTGCACTCCCAATCGTGTGGAATGCCAGGACACCGAGTTCATTCAGCAAGAAGTGAGCTTTCAGCTCTGTCCTCTGTGACGGATTGCAGAGCGTCTCTACCTTCAGGCAGGCGGGTCACCGGGCCGCTGCGGTGACCCCCCCTAACCTGTACCAGGCTGCCGGCAAGCACTCCCTGTCAGCTCTGTTTACTCTGGCAAGACTGATGGCGTCCAGGTGGACTTCTCAACCCCCGCCTGCCTGCTCTCCGCCCCCACGTTTCCACCCAGGCCCACAGAGATGGCTGCCTTTGCCAATCCGATCGCTAGGCAAGGAGCTGCTGTGCAAAACTGCAGCCCGTGAAAGTGGCTTTTCTCCTGAGTTAAACCAGGGCCTCCACCTGATTCCTCCGCCCTCCCCACCACCAGAGCCCCAGCCCCGAACCACATGTCCTCTGGGTTTTAGGGAAATGTGCCTTGTGCTTGTTACAGCCTCTCCATCTCTCTGGATAAAGCCACTCGTCTGGGAGGGCTGGGCAGTGAGGCAGATAATCCTGTTAGGCATCTGGAGGGCCTGGCCAGGGGATGTTCAGCTCAAGAATGTCAGGACGAGATGGAATGGTGCTGGAGGTGGGCTCCTGGCCCGGGACTGAGGGTAAACAGGCTTTTTCCCTGCTGGATGTCAGCCTTGGACTGGCCAGCTCCCACTGGCCGCTGATAAGTTGCTGACCCTAAGGACTAATTGCCATGATGGCTGTTATGTACCGACAAGCGTTGTTTTAGCCCCTTGGATGTGGCACTAAACACTAGGGACTCACGATGAGTTAGACTCCATCCCCAGGTAATGTGTGCAGAGGTGGGGGAAGAGAGGGGGAGGTTAAAGGTCAAGAAAGCAAACATGTGACAGAATCCAGAAAGAGAATGATCCCCAAGGAGTAGAAGGAATTGAGAGGGTGCTTGAAGGAACAAAAAGCATCAGGACATGGAGGGGAAAAGGCAGGGTGTCCTAATGGCAGAAGTGACCTAAGACAAGGTGCTGTGGCAGGAACTAATAAGCTGCATTCAGGGAACAATAACCAAGGACTATGGGAGTGCAAGGGTTCACCCAGGGGAGTGAGAGGAGAGGAGAGAGGATGGCTGGAGAGCCAGGGCTGGGGCAGGTGGAGAGGGCTGGGAGTGCCAGGTGGAAGGGTTATTCAGGAGGCAAAAAGAAAAAAGTTCTGGAATGACTACCCAGGAAGGTGGGAGGGTGACATGATCCAGGTGGTATTCTAGAAAAATTAATCTGGCACCAGTGTGTACATGGAAAGAAACTGAAAGCAAGAAGCCGGTTGACTGTAGTAAACCCATGGACCATTTGATAAGGGCTAGATGGCTACTTAATCTATTGTAGAAGTCTAGAGCCTTCTCCAGGCCCTACCCTCCACACCTTTCCATGGGTGACTTCATTCACTCCTTAGGTCTTGGCTTAAATACCACTTCCTCCAGGGAGACCTCCCTGACCAACTCCCTATCAGGCAGAGTCCCTCTGTCATATGTTCCCAAAGAAGCCCATTTGCTTTGTCATAATTACTTCACTGTGGTGTGTGTGTGTGTATGTTAAAAATATATATATATAACATAAAATTTACCATCTTAACCATTTCTAAGTATACAGTACAGTTTTTGTTGCTGCTCAGTTGCTAAGTCATGTCCAACTCTTTGCGACCCCATGGACTGTAGCCTGGCAGTCTCCTCTGTCCTTGGGATTTCCCAGGCAAGAATACTGGAGTACGTTGCCACTTACTTCTCCAGGGGATCTTCCCAACCCAGGGTCAAACCTGCATCTTCTGCACTGGCAGACAGATTCTTTACCACTGAGTCACCAGGGAAGCCCATATAGTACAGCTGTGTTACACATATTCACGTTTTTGTGCAACTGTCACCCCGACTAGAACACTTCTATTTTGTAAAGCAGGAACTCTGCACCCATGAAACAGTATCCCATTTGCTTCTCCCCTCTCCCCTGGCAACCAACATCCTACTTTCTGTTTCTAGGGATCTGACCACTCTCAGGTACCTCATATAACAAGTGGATGGTACAGTATTTGTCTTTTTGTAACTGGCTATTTTATTTAGCATAACATCCTCAAGGTTCATCCATCTGGTAGCCTGTAACAGGATTTCCACCCTTTTTAAGGTGAAATATACTCCGTTGCATACATATCACATTTTGTTTATCTATTCATCTATTGATTCACATTTGCAAAATTTTTTAAAAAATACAATGAATCTGAGACAGAGTCCCTTATCAGAACTCCAATATAGGGTCTTCCTTGGTGGTACCGTGGCTAAGACTCCATGCTTACAATGCAGGGGGCCCAGATTGGGAACTAGATTCCACATGCTGCAACTAAGACCTAGCACAACCAAATAAATAGTTTTTTAAAAAAAACTCCAATATGAGATTAACATATGAAATAAAATTTATATCATGTGACCAGAAGTTAGTAACATGACAAATTCCTTCTCTATCTTGTACATAGTACAAAACCTGTATGCAGGTCAAGAAGCAACAGTTAGAATCGGACATGGAACAACGGACTGGTCCAAAATTG